TTATGCATCTCCGGTTTGTTGTATCATCTGATCAGAGACGAGTCATGACTGAGGCTCCAGCAGATTTTCTTGGGGGACTTTCAGGACCAGCCTGGAGGCCACTCGGCTGCTTTGAGAAGCAGGCATGCACACTTAGAGCTACCATGAGCTGACCTCTGTACACCCCCTGGAGGACATGATTGGGAACAGTTCCTTGTACCAGGACATGCTGTGATTCAGGCCTCAAAAGCAGAGGACATTCCTCACTGCTGAAATAGCTGAGGGCAAGATGGTGCAGGACTTGTTGAGGGCGATCTAGACCTTGCTAGAGACAGACACTGCAGAAGTAGCCCACCCTGAGCTGCTAAGGACATAACTCAAGGAGGCCAGGCTCCACTGCCCGGCACAGACCCTTCCTGAAGGGCTTTGTACATTTCTCTTTCTCCCATGACTACAGATGTCCTATGTGAAACACAGAGTGTGTTCATGTGAAAATGCCCAGGTCCTCTAGTGATAACATGAGATGTGTGTAAAATTTCCATCCCTTCTCAAGTGCTAAGCTTTCCAAGTCTGCATTTCTAGAAGACTAAATCCACCCACATTCCAACAGGCCGGCCATGATCTCTAGGCTGTGTGATGTCAGTTGCAAATCAAAAGGTTTGAAGTTTGAGTACAGAAGGCAGGTTGCTATGAATTATATCCTTTTTACAGCGATGGGATTATATGTACATGTGGCTACTTCTTGTCCCGTTCTGCCACTTCACAATGGGTTAACATGTCAGAGGGACTGGCAGGCTCTGGCTTTGGCCAAGTGGCTCCTGTGTCAACATTTGCAAAGTCTGACGTGTGCTAGTGAACTGATGATAAGGAGTTTGAGTTTTACTGCCAACACAAAGGTATGAGGTTCAAATCCACCACTTGCTTTAAGTGAGGAAGATGTGTATTCTAGTCTCACACTATTTCCAGCCTCTGGGGAAAAAAATACCATCCAAATATTGAGCTATGGGCTCTTTCGAACACGATGATATATAACCAGAAAAGATTCCAACTCCACAGTTTGATGTGCCACTTATTTTACTGTGATAAGGAGGTGGGTATGGACTTTAAGGTGTGTTCTTCATTGTGTCCTTGATCCACTGTACGTATAGAAATAGGTTTGTATACATGCCACCATTAGTCACATCTGCACATGGGAAGAAGTCTGAAGTCAGAATCCCTTGTAACATTCCGTCACAGACCAGTGGAGCTGCTCTATCCTCCTAGGAGCAAACAAAGGGTGAGAGGGCAAGGATCTTGAACTTCACCTTTGATCCCAGCTGCAGGCCTGGCAGCCCAGCTCCCAGACAATGAAGAAAGACATTTGTGAGGTCCAGTTACAATCGTAGCGTCATTAGACACAAGTGACGGAATTCCTGTCCAGTGAT